GGCACCACAGGTCAGCAGGACATAGGAGGTTCGATTCCCGGATGTCTGCGTCGAAGCCCGAAAGTTGACTTGCCTTGATGAGCGTGGGCTTGTCCTTGGGAAGGCGCTTGTGGAATATTCAGCTTTGTTCAGCTCCTGGCCCCTAAACTCCAAGTCGTGACAACTGCCGCAGGCATGGCAATCTAGACAGCGAAAGGGGCTTTGCGGGCGGTTGTACTCCACCTAACCATTGCCACGAATCTGTCGCATGTCACAAGGATGCTTCTAACAAGTGCGAGGTTTGAGGGCTGCTAAACCTAAAGCCCACAATCCGCAACCCTTCTCCAACGAAAAGTTGGCAAGACGGGCAAGCGACGTAGCGGCTGTCTTGCGTGTCATGAGTCCCGGCACACAAGCATGGGCAATTCGGCCGTATAATCCCCCCAACACCTTTTATGCTCATCTACGCAGCCGTTAAGCCCTCATCCCTAAACCCTAAACCCGTCTTCGCAAGCCTTTTTGCACCTTCGAGTGCCAAGGCGCAGTGCAGGCTTTGGCCTCAGCAATGGCCTTGCGGATGGCATCCACGTCCTGAACGGACATGGACAGGTTCGCTCTTCGCGATTTATAAAGGGTTTAGGGTTGAGGGTTGAGGGCTAATATCCCTCAGGCACAAAAGCCTCCTCAACCCCTTTTCGGTCCAAAAGCGAACAAGGCCCTGCAGGGGCGATCACCCCGCAGCGAAAATCGCCTGGTCGCCGTTGTCAACGACCAGCACCTGCCAGCCGTAGGCCTCGCAACTCAGAGCTATGTGCATTGAGAGTTGGCCTTTGGGATGTTTTGACTTTTTCGGAATTAGGCATAATGGCCACGGGCTGCAACGCTCAAAGCCCAGAACCAGCCATCAGATTCCCTCCCTCGTTCAGCTTCTCAGTGGCTAGTCTCCTGATGTGCAACGGTACGGACTTCCATTCGAGTGGTGCTCCATAGAAGATGTGAATCTTGCGGCTAAGTGCCTTTCTGGGTCTTCTACGCGGCATAATGGACGTGGCTCTTTCAGGGAAGCCCCAACTCATCCCAAATCTTGAAAGACACCCCACATCATCTAGCTTGAAGCAGTCGTCATCTATGCATCCGAACCTCAGCACGACAATCCAGCCACTCTCATCCAAGCGAGAGGTCGCAGTCCACTCGCGCACCATGCTCTTGCTCATCTAGCTCTCCTGTACTGCAAGGGATCCTTGCGCAGCAACCAGCATCGAACGCACCGTCAGCGTCAATGTGGCGATGGCTGAACCTTCCGAAGAATCGAAGCGGCGCGGCCTTCACCATCTCGGCTTGTGCAGAGCAAGCATCAATTTCGAATTTAGATCGCAAGCACATGATATGACGAAGCTTCAGTTGAACCGACAGGCCTGAGGTTTACATTCTCGGTAAGACATGGGATGTCGGTTAGAGAAAGACGTTGAAGTTCACGGGAGACCCTAGCGTTCGAACCGGTTGAACAAAGTTCCAGCTCTCAACCCTACGCCTGAGCGACCCCCCGAACGCTAGAACTCAAACTCTCTGAAACCTTTACAGGTGCCCTAAACATACGCAGACAGTGCTAGAGAGCCCTCTGTAGCCCCAGAGAACTCAATGAGTCACATGAACCGACTACACCGGCTTCCATAAGCTACAGAACCCCCATCCCTAAACCCTAAACCCTAAGCCACACTGGCCTTGCCTCAAAGCGCTTGCCAACGTCCTGCAGAGGGACTTGGGTACCGTTCAAACGAACCGAAACAAATCGGGTAGGGGACCCCCAATATAGATCCCCAAACAGTGGGATCCCTTTTAATCAGGACCCCAAGGTCCGCAACCCCCCAATTTCGGAGACCCCCTTAAATTGTGTCCAACAAGAAAAACAGCGAAGAAGGTGGTCCTAGGAACGTGAAGTCCGATGCGGGGCGGATGTTTGAGCAGGATCAGGGTGAGGTTGAAATTTAGGGCTTACTTGGAGGTTCGTGGTGCTTATTAACCAATGAAAATTTTGCTCATAACTGTACTTCTAACCACGTTAGGGCACTTCAGGGAATTATGAGTGGGTCAAAAGTACAGTTATCATTGGTTAGTAAGTACCATGAACCTCCAAGTAGAGCTCTAGAGGCTCGTAAATGTTCCTTGCTTTCAAAGAGGCCAAAGTTGTCTTTAGAATGTGGCGGCTGCAGCTGCAGCTCGTCGATCCTCCGTGAAGGAGAGGTCGGTGTGGCCATCGATGGTGATGCCATTGTCATCCTGGAGCATCTCTAGGAAGCTACTCAAGATCAAGAAACCTTAAACCGGGAAGGCTCCTTTCTATCTTGTGGATTGGGCAAGGCAACTAATCTAACTAAATGGGTCCTGGTTTCGGAGGTTGAGGCTGCAGCAGAAAACTGGGATTGCCCTAAACCCCAACCCTAAAACCTGAGCCCTTCATTTGCAGGCTCGGAAGCTGACTCATTTGTCGCTGTCCCAAACCCAAGGCGCAGACCCCTGCTTGATAAGACCCCATGGTTGGGACGTTCCCCCCTTCCTGAATCGCCCCCGATTGGAATCCCTATTAAGGACTGTTAGTATAAGGGGCAACATCCCAACCCCTTAGGAATCATGGAAACTCGACATGGAACCTCCAGATTTGTTTTGAAGATCTGCTGTGGGTTCCTAGCAAAAAAGGTGGCTCCTGATCTTCCCTTGTATAATAAGGCCTGCCCAACATGCTGCTCCATTCACAAGATCCAACAGCCCTGAGTGCTTAGGACAGCTGAGCCCACTCAACCCCTAAACCCTAAACCCTAAACCCTAAACCTAAACCCTAAACCCTAAACCCTAAACCCTAAACCCTAAACCCTAAACCCTAAACCCTAAACCCTAAACCTCGGCCAAGTGGCATAGAAGGCAATGAGCTTCCCGAGTCCCAGATGGCCGGCATAGGCGCAGGCCTCGTGGGAGATGCCCTCCTCGAGATGCGGGTTTGGGGATTAGGGGGTTAGGGGTTTAGGGTTTGGGGTTTGGGGGTTAGCGTTTACGGCCGTTTAGGGTTTAGGGTAGGTCTTCGACCCTATATTATAATAGAGTTTGAGGCCGAAGCTGCAGCTTCCAGCTTTTTTTTGGGCAAAGAGGCCAGCACACTTAGCGCTCACAAGGAACACCCGTGGCCGCAAACTCACATTGCCAGAGTGACTATTGAGGATCGGTTGTGAATTGAAATCGGCTTTCAACTGCTCTGTAAGTCCCGCTTTAACTGGCCTCGGTGGGTGGGCGCGTTCTTTCCGGATTGGGTGGTGGGTGGGACTACAGAAAAACACGCGCAACTTGGCAAGAAAGCAACCGGAAGGACCCAAAGTTAAAATCTTGAACGCTTCGTCGTGGTCTCCTGCATGCAGCCATCGCCGGCAATGGTGTAGGTGTAGTGGTCGATGAGGGTAAAGTCCGGCCTGGGCCAGAATTCAGAGTTTAATTATGTTAAGAGTATTGCTCCAGGGCTCCTTGTTCAGACATCGGAAGCTTCTGGCTTCCTTCTCGGGCCTGAGACCCCTATGCTATATCATCCTAAACTTCAACCACTCCCATCCTCAAACTTGAAAGCGTGCACCCTAAACCCTAAACCCCAAACCCCAAACCCTAAATCCTAAACCCTAAACCCTAAACAACCTTCAGGCCAGCTTGTGTAATCAGGCGGCTTGTTGTAGGCGGCTGCCAGATGTGCCTCCGCTGCGGCGAGGCCAACAGCGTTGGAGATACCCATACCTCGCGAATGAGGCGTCAGGACGTTTAGGGTTTAGGGTTTAGGGTTTAGGGTTTAGGGTTTAGGGTTTAGGGTTTAGGGTTTAGGGTTTAGGGTTGGGGGTATAGGGTTCAGGCTTTGGAATACAAGACCATACCATACCCTCATTCAGGGTTGCAGATCCTCTGGATGCCTCGGAGCTTCAGGCGCTGGCGAGATTGCCTCTTTTTTTGGCTTGAACTCTGTTGGCTTCAAAAGTCTGTTGTTGTGATAGCAGTGTTTAACCAGTTTAACCCCCCTCGTACTCCCATAGAGCTACGAGGACCCTCGCGCCGCCCCTTTTGAAGCTTCGATGGCAAGTTGCCAAGCGGGCCGGTGGTGACCTCGATGCCATCGGTCTCCTCAGTGTGCTGTGGGAGTTATTCTCGTGGGTTTAGGGGTCGGAGTCCAGATTTGGGGCTTGAGAGGTCACGTTGCTAAGGCTCACAACGTGTTCTCAATGTGATTCTCTTCCTGTTCTTCTTTGCCGGGTCTGTCTTGGGGCGATGACACGCAGTCACATCATGTGAATAAATTAGCTTTGGACGAGGGAGCATCAGAATTGAGTTTGGGAACATGCATGAGGTGTTCAGGCTGGGTCTATAGACTTCAGAAGACTGTACGAGAGTCCCTCAGCCCAAGACTAAGCCAGCAGCCGCATCCCCTATGCCGTAAGCGATCAACCACCCACGTAGAAAAATATTACTATGAGAAACATGGCCGTGGCTCGAAGTTCTCCGGGTGGCCAGGAGTCTTCGAGCCCCACTGCCTATGCGGGTGCAAGGCAACCGGCGGAAAGATGATCCCACGGCTTAAAACGGACCCAGGAACGCTGCTTTGAAAACAACCTGAAACCGAATCAGCTTCCTCTTAGATTCTGCCGGAACTTCCGACCTACGTGATTCACCAGTACAGCCACTACAGCCTAAACACACGCAGGACCCAGAAAGCATCCAACAGCTAAGCCTGAACTGCTTCAGGTCATCCATGGCCACGCTGTCATAGCCGGCCAAGTGAAGCAGGGAGTACCTTGAACCCACTAGACCCGTCGCAACACGGTTCAAGCAGGGTGCCAGGGGCCTTAGTGCATTAGGACTTTGCATGCCCATCCCTCAACCCACAAAAGAATCAAGTTCTTCTACTAGGGACCACTTTCTGCAACGCACCCCGGAATCCAAGCAAGCTGAATGTTCTCCGAGAACTTGTGATGACTCTTGCTTCTACAGCAAGCTCGGATCTGTTTTGGCTTATGACCTCAACAAGGCCCTGTCCAGGCACTGCAGCATGCAGCCATGGCCAGAAGATAGCACAAAACGATCGCGGTTGCACCAGGATGGGTCCTGTAGGAAGCAGAACCTGCACCCTGTACCTTGTGCAAGCTTCCTGTTTGGTGGTCGCCTGGTGGTCGTGGCATCTAAGGGAGCTTCGTTGAAGACATTTCCCAAGTGTCAGTTTTAGGCTTTGTGCTTGTTTGGAATTGAACATGTTCACACTCACAGAGAACCGGCTCAGCATCGCTTGACGTATTTGGAGGTGGTGAGGAATACAAGCAAAAACACATGAGATGCAGTTGACCCTCCGTGCGTTCTATGCAGATGTTTCTGATCTTCTCTCACCCCCAACAAACTTTGCCCCGACGCCCTAACTGCTCCGGCACCCCCCACCCCAACTCGCCCCTCCACAACCCCATACTGGCTCTCGTCCTTAGGGTTGTAGGCCATCTCTTCCGCGAAGAGGAGGTAACCGATCCTGGGAGAGGCTGTGGCGCACTGTTAGAGGCTCTGGCGTTCCCACATTATATTATTAAATACGCGCGTCGCTACGTTCCTTGCATTTAATATATAATGTGCTCTCTTCGTACTTCCTTTTCCCCGGGCTCTTATTATATTATTATATGCCCGGGACATAATACTATAATTGAGAGAAGAGAGCACAAGGGTATGAAAGTATTACGTCCTAAAGGTCCGGGAGACAGGGGTGAATTGTCAATCACATGGTAGACGATTCCTTGATTCTTTGCCTTTGCATGTTTCGGGGCCGCTTTGGGCATCGGGGCTCTTTATAACGGCGTTTGGCAGGTTGCGTGTTTCGGGGCATGCAGAAACACCGCGAATAACGCGGGACAATGGGCCCCCTTGAATTTCGGGTACTCCAGACCGGCACCAAATTTGGGTCCGCATATGTCCGCATGGGCACCCTTCATGGCATCCCATACCGCCACCTTAGCGACCCCCTCAACGAATGCGGCAGTCTGAAGTGGGTTGCTCTGAAGGTGCCCGCATAGATGACTCTTGTGAAAATGACAGCAAAAGGTCACCAGTTCAGGGAGAGGGGGGTTTAGGGTTGTAGAAAGTTTAGGGATGAGATATATCTGTGCCTGCAGCCCCTGAACATTCCCTGCAAAAGTAAGCAGAACACCCCAACCCCGGTTCAAAGGGCATCCAGGTCACGGAGCCTGGCCCATGGGTGCGCCCGGGTGCCCAGAGTTCGCCTCGCCAGGACCCATGGGACTAATGGGCTGGAGTTAGGGGATGGCTTCGACCAATTGTTGAAGTAAACCCTAAACCCTAAACCCTACACCGCCCAAGAACAAAGGGCATCCCCTGGAAACCTGATCATGTGGCAGCCAAGCACATGCAAACAGGCAAGGCTTGGCTGAGGGTCCAGGGTTTAGGTTTTAGGTTTAGGGTTTGAGTTTAGGGTTTAGGGTTTTGAGGAACCGAGGACTGAGAGCCTGTAGAGAGATGGGCCACCATGTTTTCAGCATGGTGGGGCGTGTGAGCAACGGGTGCTGGGCCTGGATCACTGAACGTTCCCGAACCCTGGCAGATCCTCACGTACTCTTGGACATACTTGTGTGCCCCGTGCCAGCTCGGTTTTTGACACATATTGCACCCCTAAACCCTAAACCCTAAACCCTAAACCCTAAACCCTAAACCCTAAACCCTAAACCCTAAACCCTAAACCCTAAACCCTAAACCCTAAACCCTAAACCCTAAACCCTAAACCCTAAAAACCCTAAAGCCTACTTGTCGACTGCATAGTTTGACTACTGGTTCAACTATGCGTTTGACGGCAACCCAGGAGTCAGCCGCCATGCCCTACTTAAACCCAGACCTCAGCTTGCCAGCTTCGGTTTAGGGTTTAGGGTTTAGGGTTCAGGGTTTAGGGTTTAGGGGTAGGGTTTAGGGTTTATGGTTTGGGGGCAAGAGCCGCCTTGTTCACGGCATCCACGGCCAGGAAGCGGATGGAGTTGATGCAGTCGGTTTCCACCTGGAATAGGCAAACACTGTTCCCGAGGGATGTGTCAACCCTAAACCCTAGAGCCTAAACCCTACAAACTCTCATTTCCAACACAAGTGACTTCCTCCCAGCCTCGGTATGGTTTTTGCAAACTGCCGCTTTTCCAAGGTTTAGGGCTAGGGTTAAGGGTGTAGGTTTTCGGTGGGTTCGGTAGATTCGGTAGATTGAAGATTTGTTGAGAAGCTTTGCCATGATCCTCCTGCCCCAAAACTAAACTGTGACCCCGAAAGCTTGACAGACTCTTAGACTTGAAAGCTCCGATGCTTAATAACTCAGACAGCTCTCAGCGGGATTTCGTCGCGTGGGGTGAGATTGGGGGATGGTTTTTGCTTGTTTTCAGGGGATGGCTTTAGGAGCAAAGGTCTCTGTCTCTCCCGTGCAGAAGCCGCCTCAGTGTCGGTGCTGACCGCTGCCACCTTCACGGCCTTGCGCTGCCCCTGCAAACGAGTGGGTTTAGGGTTTAGGGTTTAGGGGGTAGGGTGAAGGCAGGCAGTCGGCGCCCTGAAGGCCGTTTGTAAGCTTCTGTAAACTACGATAACAGCTTCTCTAGGCCGAGCACGTCGCCCATGAAATCTAAATTAGGGTCCCACACGCTCTCTGATTGCGGCCGGCTGGCGGACATGTGTTTTTTCTAAACGCAGCAGCAGCACCCCGGCTCATTAAGATTCAGTCGCCATGGATGACCCAACTCACGCAGATTCTTCGTTGAATTCCGTGCAAAGTATTCCGAACTTATACAGGTGCGTGAGCTCAATCATTGAATATACAGCACGTCACCAAGTCAGATCCAGAAATTAGACCACATATCAGGGCAGCGCAACGAACTGAACCGTGGCAGGGGATGAACACCACCACTCTGATCACAGCATCTGCAAGAACCGTCAGGTACTTGCAGGTCTTTTCGGCTCAAGGACTCAAGTCAGGCCTTCTTTGCCGTCGCCCGGGCAGCACAGCCTGCTGCAAGCATTGCGGCTCCCACAGTGGCGGCGCCCATGGAGGTCTGCGGCTGGGCCTGTGCAGCATGGCCAGCTGCGACACCTCCCGTTCAAGATCGTTCCAGTGGGGTTTCTTTGTATACAGGACTGCTGTGCATGGCCGCTCAAACGGCGCGTGAATTTTGGCACAAACATGCGGACTGCGGACCACAGGTCTGCAAGCCCAAGAAGCTTCTTGTTGGAGTTAGCCAAAACCGCCTGGCAAACTAAATGAAGAAAGGTTTTTGTCGAACCCGGAGAAAGCATCGTCAGGTAAATTTCAGATGAGGCTCTTGAAAATATGGAATGTGGAGAAGGTGCCACAGCAAAATATTACCCATGGAGGCTGAGGGTTGAGGGGTTGCGGGATTAGAGAAGCGGGAAACTAGTGGGGGTTTTTGGTGTTCGCGGGACCGCGAGTTTGTTACAATCAATTTGATAATCAAATTAATGAGCAAACACAAGCGAAAGAGAAAAAGCAATCGTTAATTTCTCACGGTTTACGGGCCTTTGTCACACCAATTTGGGCCCTTATGAATTCATTCTATTTCGCTGGCACCAACATAAAACTAATAGTTTGCCCGCGGTGGTGTTCTTAATTCTTCTTCGGCTCTCATGCGTCATAAAACTCCTTGCAAAGCCTTTAGAAAGAAGTGAAGAAACATGCACATGCCAATATAAGGAGCGAACGAAGAGAGACCGCCCATGAATTTCATGGGCATTTTGTGAACGACTTGTCACTGGTGATTTCCTCTTCATCTGTGGACTCATATTATATAGACTTGTAAAGACTGAAAGAACGCACGACATCAAAATTATGTTGGTGAACTAGTGGTGGGACGTACAGAAACTGCCAGCGCAAGATCGCCGGCTTGCAGCGTAGCAATGCGAACGAACCATCTCTGCTTCAGGGTTGTCTAGGCATTCGACAGAGCGTTGTTCACATTCAGCATGCAAAACCGTGAAACCCGAAACCCCTAACCTTATAAATAACTCACAGAGCTAAAGCTCCCGAAGTTTGGGCCCATCTGAGGTTAGAGTGTCAAGGGACACGGCCTGGCTCGATGCGAGCGGCACTGGGCGTACTCGGGGGTGCCACCTTACGTGGATTTTTCCAGGTCTTAGCAGCCTGAAGCATGATAGGGTTCGGGTTCGTGTTCAGGATTGAACGAAACACAGCCAAGAACGCAGCTCCCCTCATGCCGAAATATCAAGCCATCTACTCAAGCAAATCAAGCAAATCAGGAAGTGCCAAGCCTGAAGCCCGTGATGTAGATGGTGTGTCCCCCAAGATCCTCCAAGCGTAAACAATGCGAAACCCTCTGAACACCCCTGCAACTCGTCGTACCGCCATGATCCGCCGCGGTGCGAATGTCAGAGCGCCGGCAGAGGCCGTGGCAGCTGCAGCAAGGACCTGGGAAGCTAATCCGGGCTCAGGGCAACACATGTTAAGACCTGCAATGGCAGCGCGAAATTGCCCATGCGCTGGCCATGACGTGGCAAAAGTTGCTGGAGGTTCCTTGATTCTTCGAGCTCGAAGTTTTGAATTGGTCCGTGGAACTTCTCAAAGTCCGGTGTTAAAGCAGGCGAAACATGGTTCATGTTTAGGCCTCATTGCATGGTGTTGATAGCATGTAGCAGTGTCAGCTCTTGTTCCGGCAATTGCATTTAGGCGCCAACATTCCCGAGACCTCTGACAGCGAGATGTGGCTTTTCTGAAAAGTGGCCACGGCTACGGTAGGAACAAGAGTGCACATGCATTGTAGACTTGGCTCGAACATAGGGGTAGTTCAAAGAGCACTCATCATCATCGTCATCGTCATCATCATCATCATCATCATCATCATCATCATCATCTCTTGTACTCTGTACTCCCTACAAGCAGCCTATTGACTTGTGCATGGCAGACGTACTGAGGGCCTCTATCTAGCTTCGTGGGGCAATGCGCAGTCTAGGCCACTGGCAGTGTTGCGCTGGCGGTTGGACGGCATGTTGCCTCGTCAGAAACAAAAAAGAACAACATGGAGTTCGCCATGCAAATATGAGCACCATAACGAAAAGGTGGGGGCGAGCCCATAAGTAGACTACAAAAGCATGCAATATATGTACAGGGTATTTGTGTAAGCACAGATGTTATTCTTCTTTTTGTTCGTAAGTTTAGAGTAGCAGCATTAGCAAGATTAGCAGCGCGAGTGCTCGCACGATTCATATTAGTATTCTGATAGGTAGCATTAACTGCATTATTCGTCATGCTAGGGTCGGTACTAGTCCTAATATCATTATCATCGCTAGAAAGTTTCTCAAGTGTTGGGCCTAGCATTCCACATCCCGCTTCTGACATTCCAGAACTCCCAGATTTTCCGAGCCCAGCTCCACCTTTCAAATTCCCAAAGTTTTCGGACCCAGTAATCTATATTCCGCAGCCTATACAATTCAGGTGGCCTCATACCAGATTCCAGACAACTCCAAGTTCTGGAGGCCCGACATTCCATGTTCCAAGGTTCTAAGCTGTATGGGGCGAAATAGCAAGTTTTGGGGGCCCGGCGTTCCATAGTCTAACATCCCAAACTATGTAGGGCCCAACATACCGTCTTCCACGCACCACATTCACATCTAATGTTACATGCATTTTCTTGTGAAGAATTCGATCAAACCGTCTCATGTTTTACTAGTATTGGCGGGAAGTTCACAAAAACGAGCCTTTCTCGTAAGGCAATGCTTGTTTTTGTATGGCGTCTCTCATATGAAACGCGAACACAAGAAAATAATCACACACTCCTTATCTATCTCGGAGATTGCTTGCATGCGGTACTACTACCTATGCCCCTTTACTCTAGAGTTGTCCGTTTGCCAGTACCTCCCAACCCATGCGTGCGAGCCTTTTCAGAATACGCAAGCATAGTAGATCATTTTGATAAGTCGTATCAGCATTCTTCGTAGTGCTAGTGTCGTTGATATGCTTAATGTCGGGCCAGTATACCATCTTTACCGCACCGCATTCACAGCTCCACAAAATTAGTGCCGAGCATTCCACATTCCAAAACCCATAGTACCCAACATTTTCGACTCAAGATTCCCTATCCCACGGTGTTATTCAAACGAGAAGAAAACCTACATGCATAAATGCTCCGTTCATGTAGTGGCTGCTGCGTATTATGGGCTCCACGCCTCTTCCCTGCATCGACTCTACATTTTCTGGTGGCGGGGGGAAGGGGGGATGCCTGGAGGGCGGCTGGTAGAGGGAGGGTGGAGGGGGCGGTGGTGGTGGTGGTGGCTCGTATGGTAAAGGGACCTGCATTCCATTTCTCAAGGAAGCATAATGGAGCATCTTGCACAACCTACCAGTTTAAGATTAGAAGCCTGAACGCTGCAGATGAATACCGTGAAGAAGTGTGTGTGTATATATATATATAGACATATATGTACTGAAACCTACACCTCCAAAACCACAACCCTTTAAAACTTGAGCCTCCTCATAAATTGGACCTACCCTGAAATTCTTGACAACCTAAACCTCCCACACCCGGGCCTGTAATAGCCCCTATCATGTCTGCATAAAAAACCTGTACATGTATGTCTATATATGTGTGTGTGTGTATATATATATATATATCGAAATGGGATCCCACAAGCAACGCTCGTGAAGAACTTTAGGGGCTCTAGGGGCTTTCGGTGTGGTGTGTAATCGTGTGTACAGAGCACTGGCGGGTGACTTCGCCTTACCGACAACGGAGGCTGAGCCGCTGGCGTCAATGCGTCGTTGAACAAAATGTCCAGGCAAACTCCCAACTGCTTTGGCCGCGTATAGCTGCGTGATTGACAACGCGCTCTTGAGTTTCGAGGGCTTGCTGTATGCATGTGACATGATGCGGCAGTGAACCTCCGCCAGATGCCCCGTGTGCAGGTCAAGCTGCTTAACGGCCTAACGACGATAGGGACTATCTAACCATCGCGCTGCCAAATTCAGTTCGTGTGCCTAGAACGGCTTGTCAAGGACAAGGCGATGTCAGACGATGCAGGGGTTGCTCTAGCAGTAGCCACATTTATTCAACCTGGAAGGTTGTTTGCAACTATCTTACATGCCTTCATGCGCTGAGCTTCCGGCGATGACTCAAAACGAAACTGCAAAGTGTGAAGCTTTGTTTCTGCATGTTTGAACAAATCCCTACTTTATCAATTTTACCGCGCACGCGCTGGCTCGGCAACTATTTGCAAGCGAACCCTTGCTGGACATTTCCAGTGCGAGGGTTCATCCTTTTCAGCCTTCTGTCCACGGCAGCGGCGACGATCACCACGATACACAAGTGTTGTGAACGAGAAACTTCTTCCTCCTGCACTTCTTCCGCGAAAAGCTCCGCTGACAACGATGTCGCCGAAGACGTGGATGTTCCTGTCAAAGAGGATGTCAATGTGGACGTTCCCGTCCAAGAGGATGTCAACGTGGAAGTTCCTGTCAACATTGGGAAGTTCCCATCAAAGAGGATGTCGAAGTTGAAGACAGGGAGCCTCTCGCTCTCTTATGTAGGCCAAGGCCATCGCGAGCCAAGCGACGCGCTTCCTGATCGTCATGTTGGAGCCCATACCAAGAGCTCTTACATCATCAGGATCGAGCATTAATGTGCAAGTCTCGTTGCGCCATTTCCCTGCATGCCGGAGAACTGGCAACACGTGGCCTCTGACGTCGCGCTCGGTCGCTTCCTTCAGCGTTTCCAGGCCCATGCTGGACGACAAGGTGCAGCGCTTCAAGATGGGGGGCGTGCTGGAGGGTGCCAAATTCTTTTTGTAAGAAAAGAGATCCTCTGGAGGGGCCTTGGGGTCGACCAACCTGACTCATACTGTGGGTTACGCTCGGCTGTCTATCAATGCAAAAAGGCCTCCAGCCTCTTTCAGCTGCTTGTGTCTTCCTTGCCCTTCTTCTTGCTCTTGTCCTTCTTCTCCTTCTTGGCCTTCTTCAGCTTCTTGAGCTTCTTTTCCTTCTTATCTTGCTTGGCAGGCTTCTTCGAACTCTGCTTCTTGGCCTGTGCTCGTGGCCATGCACACGGAATGCGACACTGCACTGCAGATATCCATCCACCCTGATCGCTAGGATTCTGAAACTTCGGGAATTATTGCAGGCAGCTACAAGCTTCAAAACCTCGAACATCCAAAGCCCCAAGCCTTGAAGCCAACACCCCGGCTGCCTCATGTTCGACATCCTAAACCCTAAGCTCTAAGCCCTGAGCCCTAAGCCCCCTCAGGCCTAAGCCCTAAACCCTAAACCCAGTGGCCTCTGAGTCACTGCTGCTGATGGTGACCCTGGGATTGCTAGCTGCCGCGTCCTGGGCCCCGAAATGAACGTAGATTGGACCTCGACCGAGAGAGTTCTGGTTGCAAAGCCTTTCATTCTGACCGTAAACCCTAAACCCTAAACCCTAACCCCTAAACCCTAAACCCTGAACCCTAAACCCTAAACCCTTGGAGAAGTGCCCCAAGGCCTTCTAAAGCAATCCAGGGAGTGAACTGAAAGGTGCCCAGAGCTGCCCAGTCCTGCAAGGCCTTCGGCTCCGCCACGCCAGTGGTGTGGAGGATCCTTTGGTTTCTTCAAAACACATGGGAAGCAATCAACTTCGAAAGCCCCGGGATGGAGAACTTATGGCTTGGGGGCTTGGGATTGACGTTGAAGAGTTGGGATCTTGGGGGTAATACGGCTTTCCTGAAACACATGGCGACTCCCAAATGCATGTTAAGCCTTGGCGTCTTCAGCGCGTGGAGGGTATTAGCAGTATTGTCAGACAAAGCGGCAGCGTGGAAACACACATCAACGGTATCTGCTTACAGTTTCAATTTTCTGGCCAGCAGGCCTACATGCTGTGCCAAATTGTGGACTATATGCTGTTTTCCGAATGTTACAGCGGGTGGTAGAACGCGTAAGGCTTTTGATGCTCAGCAACAACCTTGCGGGATGACATGCGCGTGTCCATTGTTCCCCACCTTCGGTGTGGGGTTGTTAGGTTTCAAACTCAACTGCCCCGGAACTCTTCTCTTCGCCCGGTCTGCTCCTATAGAGATTCCCTGGAGTGCCCAACCCCAGATTCTTCCTGGAGTGCCCAACACCAGAAACCCTGGAGTGCCCATCCCTGGAGTGCCCAACCCCAGAGACTCTCTGGAGTGCCCAACCCCACCCTCCCTGGAGTGCCCAACCCAGAGAATCCCTGGAGTGCCGAACCCCAGAGACCCTGGAGCGCTAAGGTGGGGATGTTCGAAGTAAAATAACTTTCTGTATTTGTTTTCCTGCAAGCATTGGAAACAGAAGTGCTATCCATCAGCTACATGATGTCCAATGTCCAAAGTACGTCTAAAAACGAGGCCATCACATGGTCCGTAAACGGCGAAGGCTCACTCTCTTCGCGGCCTCCACATCGACGTGCAGCTTGGAGCCCTCAGTTCGATAGTGGGACCATTTCCGAGAAAAATCTCCGCTTTCCCAGGGTTAGGGCTATTTTCTCTGTAAAATGTATGGACAAGGGCAAGCCTTTGGAGATTGTACTCCGAAGTTGGGGACAAGCCAAGTGCTTGTATAGGCTAGGGTTTAGGGTTTAGGGTTTAGGGTTTAGGGTTTAAGGTTTAAGCGTTGAGAGGCCCTAGGGGCCTTCACAGCAGCTGCTTCCCTCCAATTCATCAAGCCCAACACACAGGTCATAGCTTACTCAGTTACTCTTACGTGCCATTCCATAGCCTGGTTGCTGAGTACCCTGGCCCAAACAAAGGTTTAACCTGTAAGTTATGGTAGGCTTGTGTACACCCCCACAGGTTAAAGGTTCTCTACTCAGCTACTGAGATAGCGACCCTAAACCCTAAACCCGAAACCCTAAAGTTTCGGGTTGACTCGGCTCCGCGCAGCTCCGGGAATGCGGCATTTTGAGCACTTCCTTGGCTGGACCCCACAAGTCTGAATCATAGCTACCAAGGAGGCGGGGGGGTGGGGGGGGTGGGGGTGGGGTTCGGGTTAGGGTTTGGGGTTTAGGGTTTCGGGTTTAGCGTTTAGGGTTGAACGGCAACGGAATTCACAAAGCCGCAAGGCGAACGAACGCGAAGAACAGAACAAAACAACCACAATCCAAAGGCCACACAAGAAAAAAACAAAACACACCAGAGGACTGATGTCTGCCGCTTTTCCAACTTGACCCCCCCGTGCACCACCAATTGTTTTTTGCCACTTGTTCACTTGCCTCACTTGAAATCGATTCTCCCAACCCTCTTTTTGCGGAATAGTTAGTCGCAATGCGCAATTTGCCCCATTCGCGCCACTTGCATGAGTCACTTACACCCCACTTGCCTCACTTGCCCCGCTTGCACGCTCCCCCCTCCCCCCGCCGCCTTACTGACGGAAGTAGAATAGACATGATGCGATAGGCTCTGTCTCCTTCTTGACGCAGAAACATGATCCAACATAGGGAAGTGGACAGTGGCTCTTGTCTACAATGCCGCCACCAAATGGGCAAGTGGGGTAATTTCAACTGTAGCTTTGCCGGACTATCACATGAGGGCAGGTGGGAATTCAACTGGTGGTAGATTACCAAGTCGATTGCCACTTTATGCCTTGGAGTGTCATGGAGACGTGGCCGTCCCAAACGGGGCGGGTACAGTCGATGCAGCGCTCCTTCTTGTCCATGATCCCCCCAACGAACATGGACCGCTTGTGGAAAAAACCTCGGCTGAACTTGCAATGCACCTACGTTTGAGGGACACGCCAAAGGCTTCCAATGGCAGAGAAATATATAAGTTTGCTCTACTATAAGAGTAATAAAAGTTTGCGCAGGTACTCGTATAAACAGCATGTACATAGGGAGTGCAGTATGGCTCCCGATTACAAGAAATTGGTTCGGGAAGGTAAGGATTGGATTGCCCTACTGCGCCCCAAGTTCTTGGAAGAATGCGAAGTGCCCAAGCAAAACTCTAGAGCGCGTCGACTCGCCAGCTGTCAACCGGGGTCAGAATTCCTTCTGAGTGGGAAACCAGAGAACCGATGCTTTCAGAAGCAGGGCACCTCCAACAAAGAGCACACCCCTGTCGAGACTACAGAACCTTCCCCTCCCCGAACTATTTTTAACGTGTGGAGCTTTTGGCTCCCCGACCCCACAACCAAAGCCGAAATCTTACACCCCCGCACCTTCAATCCGCATAATTACCGTAACTTAGCTACACTCAGAAGGGTAGCTTTCAATTAAATTTTTAGCTGCCTTACTAAGAAACCCAATAAACCCAAAGAGGCTAAGGATCTAAAGTTACAGTAAAGCACCCACAAAGATGACCCTGATGGGACCTTCTGCCGGCTTCTTCGATGCCGCCTTGCTCGGCCAGGCCTTGGATGCGTTCTGAAGAATCTCAGAAGTGCCGCAAGGCTCAGGGCGCACATGCTTCAGATTGCTTCAGTATCCCCTCCCCCTAAGATTGAACCCCTTCTAAGCCCTAATAGTAATATTGGGGGGTAGAGGGGGGGGTTTAATTTTAGGAGGGGGGTAAGGCTAATGTCAGGCTACGTCACGCTAGGTGCAAAGGAGCCTTCGTCATTACGAGGACCCGACGCCCCTCACTGACGTTAGGCAGGATTGCAGGACATCCCTCTAGTGTCGGGCAAAGCGCTGGAACGAAGGTCTCAGTATCCAAGAATGCATATCCCACGCGATGCTCTTGAACCCACGGGTCGTCGAAACCACCTGCGGGGGGGTATGGATTTCTGGCAGATAGTCCCACGGGTGGACAACCATGAAAAGAGCTTGCGCCGTGGGCGCTACGATTTGAGATACATGGGTTTGCAACGTCATCAGCTGTGACTCAGGCCGTACGAACATTGTACCACGCGAAGCCCGGACGAGCCTCCCGTCGCATTGCTAACGATGAGGCATGGCCTGCAGCCACTGGCCAAGAATCAGGTGTTCGGCACGCAAACAACTAAAAATTGCTTAAGAACCCCCCCCCCCCAAAAAAAAAAAATCTCCCTAAAAAAGACCCTCCCTATAAGAGTAATATAGGGATTGCTGTTTTTTTTAAATTCTTTTGGGCTCTTAAGCAAATACTGTAGTAGACAAGACGAACTTGAGACACCAAGCCAGCCTTCCGCCATGAGTAGCAGAAAAAACACGAATCAGAGGTAGCGTTTCGGGCACGCTTGAGGTCTTGTTTTCTTCCCTGTGTCTGTCGCTTGTTGTCGGTTTCCTCTTTTCATGCTGATCTCGGTGGACCACATGGCATGGTGAAAGCACTGGCTTCTGTATTTTGTGCAGGCTTGCAGGAGTGTACGACAGCCACTGCGTGGAACAGTCAGGTGCACCGAAATGACAAGTAACGAGCAATCATGAGGCCACTACAGTCGCGCATGATAGATTCTCCCTCGCAACTGTTTTGCTTCCCATAACCCTAAACCAAGCTGACCTTAAGCCCTACAAGGCCCGAGAACTGCGCCTCCCCGCACTAGCCAACACTTCAGCAGCAGAGAGAATCCTCGGCTGGGTGCTCCGGCATGAAACTTTGGAGAGTTTCAGTTTTTCATTAGGGTTTAGGGTTTAGGGTTTAGGTTCCAAGGTATTCTGCTGAGGGGATGGCTCAGGACGAGACCGCAGGCGAGGTTCAAATCTTACTGCGACACTGCAGGAGATGGGCAGAAGCTCTTGTTGATAGTATGGCAGGAAGTCACATGGCTTGGCGAAGAATCTGTGAAGCCCTGGCCCCAACTCGATCCCTCAAAACCATAAATGCCGCTGCTCATGATGACCCCGTATCGTGAAATTGCTCAAGGCCAGGCGGCAGCGACCGTGAGGCGTCAGCCTTGACCACTGCATCCGGCCCATAAGCAGCCCTAAGCCTCTCGCACCTCAGCGGGTCTGGTGGGAGGGTGTCGAGGTTCACAGCCCATGTGAGGAGGTGATCTCTGCGTTTGGGAATTGGTCTAAGGCTTCCTACTTATGTTTCTTGAGTACGCTGACACAGTGCTCTCTCAGAGACTTTACAAGTGCTATCAAGATCCTAGGCTGTGAGCTGGGCTTCCGGAAGCGAGCTTTCAACTCCGGAACCTCTTAGGAGGGTTCATGACAGCTCCTACATAGAAGAGCATGTTCCGAAATGGGGGGGTTTACGAACAATATCGATCCCCATATAATAAGGACCCCAATAAGGTACCCCCTATACTTTCGGAAACCCCCATCAAATGGTTGAACGGAGCCCACCACCCCTCTGTCGACAAGGAGGCGTCCGAAAGACACTGCCCCCAGCGAGACGCACTGCCATCTCTTAGAGACGAAGCACTAAGAAACACCTCAACGCCCCAGGCCAAAAGCCCACACCCGCCCCTAGAATGTCAAAGCTCGAATCCTGAAGCCCCCCGAGAGAAGACCAGTCAGGAAAGTAGCTGTTGGGGGTCGAGGTCGGCCTCCAGCGGCAGGAAGATCTGGATACAGTGCGCCTTTGTTTAGATGGGTCAGCCCCAAGGCTGGCCCCCCGACGAAAACGTTGCAAAAATGGGCCAGGTATGCCATCCGTGTGGAAGAGGTTCTGAGCACAATGGCTGATAGTTGGCCACACCATGCAACCCCCCACAACCCTGAAATCGATTCCCTTGAACCTACAACTGTGGAGCTGGCCCATCGTCAGGGATGTGTTTAGGGATCAAGGTAAGCCCGAAACATCCCCAAACCCTACGCCCAAAGCTTGTAGAGATTTGTAGGCTTGGTGTGGGGGTGGGGAGGATCAAGGCCTTCGCAGCGAAGAAAGCGGCAGCAGAAAAGAGCTGAGGCCAAGAGACCTCCGGTCTTGGGGACTTTTAGGTTCGGGGCTTAAGCGGCTTGGGATTAAAGTAGGTCTGACATGAAACAAGTCCGAAACCCTTGGGCATGTTGGGGGCTTCGATGGCACAGATTGCTTGCTTTACGATTCTAGCTGGATAGTCTTGGCGATTGTACACGTTCTTGCGAAAGCAATCTGCAGCTGTTGCGTGTGCATGTATGAGCCACCGTCCGCCCCACAACGTCCTGCCCCTGGTGCTTAGTGTTTAGTGCTTCAGGGTATACACCCCAACCCTACACCCTAAACCCTTAAACCCGTAGACCAATTAACCCCAAACCCTAGACCGCAAACCATGTGCCGGCGGGCGTCCCTGCTGCTGCCAGAGGTGTTGCGGAAGTGGAGCACCTCTTCAAGAGCATTCGGATGTGGCATTGTTTTCTCACTCTGAGGATTTCAGGGCGTAAGATGTCATTGAGTTCTCGTTGCCCCAAACCCCCCGGCAAGGCAAGCGCGAAGAGTGCAGAAGGGACCTGGAACCCTCAGCCTGACCCTATAAGCCTCTTACCTTTTGGGGGTGTCGGCTTAGGTTTAGGCCATCCGCAGGAAACTTGTTGCATGGTCTCGCTCCGTCTGAGTCCGCAGCATCCAAGCCATCAATCAGCACCTCGTTGCATGTGGCTTGGGGAAGATCGGATTCGAGCTGCCACAGTTAACTCAAGGTTTGGGGCTCAGAGCTCAGAAAACAAGAGGGGCTAGGGTTGAAGTTCCGTTCCGGACGTAGAAGCGAACACAGCTAGAATCGTTGTCACCCAATTTCGGTCGAATCTTCTAGGAGAAGGAGAGAGAGAGAGAGAGAGGACTGCTTCTCATCTGGCTACCGCTGACTGCAACAAGCAAAGAAAGATAAGACAGCAGAGCGAGAGGCGATGGGCTGCTTTGTTTGTGTTGTGGACAGCGCTTGTTATTGGCCAGTTTTTAGGCTGGCAACTTGACATTGTAACCCTAAACCCTAAACCCTAAACCCCAAAGAGGTGTTGTCCCCAGTCTTGTGAACATCGAGAAATCTCTCTTCTTCACGGGAATGGCACAAGCCGGCGCGAGGGCTAGAAACGAGAAACGAAGGACCGCAAGGAATCTACGATGAGAGTGAGATCGAAATAGCCACAACAACATCCATCCAGCCCCTGAAGCCCAAATGTTCAGACTTATCAGGAGCAGAACAAGAAGAGAAGCCGGACAAAACGCGCATGTAGTTGACAAATTTAGGGCTGAAGGCTACGCCCGCAGCCCTGCAGCTGTTGATGCATGGTTCAGTGGACGTGTTTGTTTGAGTCAGGGCCTTTTGTTCACCAAAGGAACAGCATGCTATGTCCAGAGTTTGGGGCTCCCAGGGCTACTTTTGAATTGTGCCCGAAAGGTTGGGACGATGAATCAAATGCTCGCAGTATATTGAGACATTGCCAACTCAATAGACTCTAAGCCTTGAGCCCTAGATTGGTCCCTCTCTCGCTGCCCCCGACCCGTCAGAGAGGAGATGGCTGCTTATGTTGTGGTAGATATTGATTGTTGTTAAAGGCTGTTAATCACTCCAGATTTGGGCGGTGGCAGTATTGATACTGAACCTGAACGAGACAGCTTGAAGAGGGTTGGTGCTGTAATCTTACACCGCGCTGGCTTCAAGAACTTGAGTCTCGCTCACTGACGCAGGCCTTGTCGTGCTTGCCAGTGGCAGCAGGCTGCTGCGCAGCCTTTTTTTGGAATGTCAAGACACTTTCAAAGGGCACACATGATACTTGATAGGGGCGCGCAAAAGAGAATTATCACCACTACTGATGTGTCTAAGCCTTTCTGCAACGTTTTGACTTTGATTGGTTTCTTTCGCAGCTATCCTGCTGGAGTTTCACACGGCCTACGGTGAGCTTTGGAAAAACTCAGTGCATGACATTCTTGTTGAAAGCTGCAGAACTCCGAAACCAAGCCGTATCCGCAACCCCCACTTCCAAGGCCCTACTTCCGTTTTAAGAACCCAAAATTCCGGACGCCGCACGAATCTTGTCCGTGTACGAATCTTGGCAACGAGTCTTTAAAACCTAAACCCTAAACCCTACTAGCTTCATGGACCCATGACCGCACCTCAGAGGTATCCATGGCCGACGTTGCAGGCAGTGGTCTTGCCACTGGCTTGTCAGCAGGCGGTGCTGGGCCTTTGTCATTGGGCTGCAGGGTTTGAGTAATGGTACACAGAACCTTTGGGGCTTTGCAAATGCAACTTTGAAAGGCGCTGAGCCACACTATTTTCTCCAAAAAGAGTGTGTATCGCCCTGATGTCCTGCTTTCATCGAGTAGAATGCTGTGTTTTTACTTATTCTTAACATATTTTCTATGGATTGTTCGAATCGAGTTCATGTTATTATGATACAGTAGACTTTCCCTGCAAGTATATAAGGTTTAGAATAGAAGCTAGAATGTAACCCTTGGACGCTTAGCTGAAAAGCTTAACTGTAAGACTTAGTTGAACAGGTATGCATAATAACCTCGCTACTTGCAGACAAGTATAGAAGCTACCTCTCCTCCCCCCCCCGGCCGAAAAATCCCCAAAAAACCCGGCAGCGCATGTTGTCAGATTTATTTCTGGGGGGGGGGGGGGGAAGGGGAAGGGAAGTGTAGATAGCTTTTTTGTCAGTTTTGGCTACAACTTGGTTGAACTTCCCAGTGTGGAATGGTGACCGGTGCCACTTTTGGCCCACAACTTGGTTGGGCTTCACAGTGCTGGTTGGTGAACCGCACGGCCGAACTTCCCGGTGTAGGTTGCTGACCCGTGCCGATTTTGAAGCCACCTCTTTTAAGCATCAACACAGAAAGACAGCCAAGATAGTTTTGAGAGAGGGAGAGACACACACAGGCTACGGTAACAACCCTCATCCAGCTCCAGCGCGGCGTGTGACGCCAGTCCACACTGAGTTTATTTCGAAGTACGAGCTGCAGTGCGTTGAAACCCTACATCTCGAACTTCTGCCGTGTTGCTCGCGCGGGGCGCGTCTGTCTTCAAATCTTCCTGAACGGCTGAAGGTTGCAAGGGGCTCAGGGTTGGAGTTTCGAGTTTCGGCAGGCTTCGAGCAAAGCACGAGCACAGGGAGATAATACCACTTACTTCCTGCTCTTGTCGGTTAACAACAGTTTCGGCAAAGTTGGGAGGAATCGCACGGCTGCGGTGATTTAGTACTCTGAACACCGCAGACCTAAGGTCATGGCATTGACACCAGACAAAGCCAAACCTGCAGCACTGTAGGCAGACTCTTTAGCATCCCTACGCGCCGACTCCCACAAATACCCCCAAAAACCTCACCCCAACCCCCCTCACTTGCTGAACTCTGAATCTGTAGAACTTAATGAAGTGCAGAGCTCGGCTGAGCCCTTAAAGCCTTACCCACATATTTTAATCTTTCTTCTTGCCAGTGTCCTGGGTGGCTGCCAGTGCTTGCGGCGATCCCGCAATCTGAACCTCTGCCCAGGAGAGTTCAGATCGGATAAGGGTCATGGTTTGGGGTTTGGGGTTTGGGGTTTAGGGTAGGGTCTAGGGCTTGGTTCTGCTCTCTGCGAAATTCTGCGCTATCGGGTTTTGGTTTAGGGTCCGCACCTGTGCTAGGCTGGCAGACAGAGCCTCTAACTGCACCAAGGCTTGTCCAAGTAAGCTCGTCTGGACATCTTACTACAGCAGGATGCATGTGCACGAAAGGTGTGGGTGGCCACGTGGCCGCGAACGCATGCTGGAGGCTACGGATATCAGGCTCAGGTCCGAACCCGACAAGGATCCTGATCCAGCACCACTTCCTGTCGGTGCCAAGACTCTCAGTTGCGGCTTGAGGCTGGCCAGCTTTTCATTGAAGGGTGACACAGGTGTTGAAGTCAAGGGTCCAAAGCACACACGGTAGTTAGCATGCGAAGATTGCTAGAGTTCTGGCGTTTAGCCCCAGACTCCCAGGGCTGGGTCGGGGTAGGGGGCAGGGGAGACCCAAATTGCGAGCGAGCATCGAGGTGGGTCCCCGTCTTCTCCCTGAGCCGCTTGATCCTGGAGCCTCCCTTGCCAATGATCTGGAGCGCTTCGTCCTGCCATGGAGTAGATCGGCTCTACGAAATTTACAGAGCCACCAAGCAAGCCGCCTACAGAAGCCCGCTGGGCCAGGGGCTTGAACATGTTGTTGCGTTTCGGGGGTGTATGGGGTGTATGGGGTGTAGGGTGAACCGCTTAAGGCCGAGGGTCTGGTGACAAGGTCTTGGAGGCCCAGTCCGCACCACACGACTTCCATTTGACTTCAATTTCAGCTTCCATCGACTGCCATCGTTATTGGGTGCCCATGGCTTGAAAACGGTGGCAGCCTAGCACGGCAGCGCCAAAAAACACTCGGGCAAAGTCTCAGCGTTAAAGTTCGCTCGAATGCCTGCTGCCACCATGGTTTACATGGTTTCCTTCACTGCAGATGGTCTGGAGCCTTCGCAGTTGTGTCTGCAAAGATTGCAGACCATGGGACTTGTTAAGAAGCGTGTGGCGACGTTAACTTCCACTACAGCTTCCGGGACTCGTGCGGATCCTCGGCGCGAGCCTTGAACCCTTGCGTACAAGCCCTCAGCTCCTGTGTCAGTTGCGCAATAGAGGGGCCTGAATGAATTGAATAGAGCTTTGCGGGTTATTATAGTATACTTAAACAGGGACCATCAGGGAATACTAAAATAGTAATTCTTCCGACCCCTAGATGACTTCTGGGGGCCCCTGTTTGAAACGCTTCGCGCAAGGCGCCTTCGTGACCACCAGCTCCGCAAACGCAATGGCGCCCTCCGTCAGCGCCTTTGCCTTCAGAGTCACTTCAAGGCTTCAGCTCTTCGATTAGGGTTGAGCATGTTGGGCTACCGATCGAATTTCCATGGCTGTTTCAATAATATTTACTTGCCTACATCGAAACGATATTGATATCGGTAATCGCTGCCTCTTCGGCTGGGTATAGGCATCATATCGTAGACCAGCACACCATTGCCCTAAACCCTAAACCCTAAACCATTGTTAGTCTGCCTGGTTTGTCAAGGCTCTTCCCACAAAGCTCCTGCCATCGTTCTCTCCCAAGGTTGACTCGCAAGAAGCAGGCCGAAACGTGACCGCAAGACCCAAACCTCCCATGTAGCTTAAGGGTTTAGGGTTCAGGGTTTAGTGGCATGATTGGGTGAGACTTCAGAGGATGCCCACCTTGGCCACGACCTCACGGCTCCCGATGAACTTCACGCAGCAGCGATCAGCCATCCTGGTACGGTTTTCTTGGCTGGGGGGGAGATTATGACTCGGGTTCAGGTCCAAGCTTCATTGAGGGGTCGGCTTGCGACAAGAACGGGCGATCATCGCCCCCTCGTTTTATCATGTACCCCTACAGGCAGTCCAAGAGGGCTGAGGGGCGTCAGGGGGTTGTATAAGGATGTATAAGGGCTTGAGGGAGGCTCTCAGAATTCTCGGGCTGTTCATATCTACAGCTCTTCACGTACGTTGGCTGCAGGTGGCAGCATTCGCAGAATCCCGAAGAAACGCACAACCCTGGAACTGTTATCAATGCCCGAAGATTGTCCCCCTTGCTTTGGCAACACCCGCCCTAGTTGCAAATAAGAGGCATCAGAACAAAGCAACCATTCTCCAAGGTTTAAGAATGCCACTGCAAAGAGAACAGGGAAAAGTTGACCCCAAGCTCTCCTCTCCAGGTGCAGCCGGCAGTCTTGCGAGCGCCCTTCGCCTCTGCACCCGGAGCTGTGGAGCTTGAGAATTGTGTCGGTTGCGGGGAATAAGATTTGGAGCCGTTCAGGGTTGTTTTGGGTCGGAAGCGTTGGCGTTCTCGGTTATTACGACAGCTGCAGGCCTCCAACATTGCCACTCCAGGAGACCATGAAAAGAGCTGTGCACTGCACAGCATTGTTCCAATGGGTCCAGGGCACGTGCGATCGTCTCTCGTAGCTGCCGAATGACCTCCTTGCCACGTCGTTCTGCGAAGAGTGGCAGGTCGAGGGAGTCCTGGAAGAAGCCTGGGTTCAGTGTTGCAGGATGAGGTGCCAAAAATATACATATATGTATAAATCACAACATCTCACTACAGTACCATGATGATATAGTAATATACTCATATACGAGTACACTAATCCATGAATACACTCATATAGTAATCTACTCGCATACCAATATACTAGCACTACATACTCGAGGGCTTCATGGGAGCACCTGACTTACAGGCTGCAGTCGTTGAAACTACATGGCCATCCATTGCACTGCAGGCACGAAGTAAACTACAGTCGACCGATTGTATTCACCATGTTCTGTTGACCGCAGTCCCAATCTCTAACAATCTCTAAACTATGGCTAAGGCCAGAAAACAACCACCCTGCAGGAAGTCTTAGTGGAACCCCTTCAGTGGCATCCTGAGCAAACTGCGAAAAGACAGCGCGCACGGAGTACACATGGCACTGGCAAAAACTAGGTCAAAAAAACGACTATGGGGCTTACAGGGATGCTTCGGGTTCATAGATTGGTTGGTCCGAGCTCGGAGCCTTAGGTTCTGTTGCAGCCCAGGCGCGCGCGTCCAACGCCGACGCCGCCAGGGCCACGGCCGCTGCAGAGCCCGCCAGCTGGACCGTGGAGCTGCCAGCGTCACCTGTAGGGTTTATATATAGGGTTGAGAATGGGTTTATAGGGTTTTATATAGGGTTTATTCTACAGGGGTTTATTTAGGGTTTATAGGATTAGGGTTTACATTATAGGGTTTATATAGGGTTATTGGCCCATCCACGTTTTAGAGTTCAAGGTGTAGAGGGTTTGGAGACCAGAATGCAGGGCATTGCAGGGCTTAGAGAAGTTTGGATATTTGTGGATGGGCGGACCATTCAGCAGAATTCTTCTGTCGAGGTACGTAGAAGACATAGATGGGCCTCCACCAGCCTCAACACTATGGAGGCGTGTGATCGCGCCTAGCGCTAGCGTCAGCTGGTTGGGTGCCTCTGCTGTGTGTCTGAATTGCAGATGTGAAAGTTGCCTCGGAAGGTATGAAAATACAGCAAGGCGTGCGGTTAGCGAAGCATCTGCTTGGTTGGGTCCACTGACGCAGTTGGATCCTTGTATCCAGGCTGACAATAATCTGCTTATGCACAATTCCTGCGCCAGGACGAAGACAACGCAGGAACATATACATACCTTCGTGAACTTTCTGCTTCTAGGTCGCGCAGCTCCACCCAAATATGCGCACCAGAGGATTTCTCCAGCTCGTGCCGTGTCTGGCCGCGCCTCGATGATGACGAGAGCTTATAGGGTTCGGGGTGGTTTGCGCATGCCCTCATTGTAGTGTTTTGTTGATGGTTCCAGTGCTGCTGAAGACATCCATCAGTCACTTCTGACGGCTGCCTCGCGCCAGCGTATTCTAGTTTGCAGCGCTTTCACGGAAACTCTCAGTCCTCCCCTGAACCTTACATCCCGAATCCCTAAACCCTAAGCCCTGAACCCCCTTTGAGCACTTGTGAGATATGGACTTTGGAAAGAATCAAGAGGGATGTCGGAGCTGACAGCACCCTTCAGTACGGGGTGGAAGGTTCTCGAGCTTGCGGGTTAGCGTTTTTTTCCTAGTTGATGACAACCCTCAGGCCAAAACGGTTAACCTTTCAATTCTGGTAGGATTATATACATATTTACACACCCCAAAAGTTTCAAGGTCACCTACTCACGTACTAAGTTCCGCAGGGAAGTGTCCAGGAAACCTAGGGCCTTTAGGGTTTGGTGTCCAAAGTTGCGGGGCAAGTTGCTCCCCCAACACAGCGCTGGCAATCTCCCTCGGCACCTTCGAGAGAGGTTGTTTGAAACCTTTTAGGATTTGGAGTTGCTTGAGGCCGTTGAGAGGAGCTTGAGAGGCTCCTAGAGGGCTGAGGGCCATCGAGCCAGGATTCCGCTTTGCAGCTTCTTGCATCGGAGCATTGTGGTGGCTCTTCGGTTTACAGGGTTTCCGACCGATTCCCATCGTTTTCCCCGATGTATCTGCCATGACAGGCCAGTGAAGTTCCTGGTCCGGTTCAAAGCTTCGGGCTCACCTCAGGGCCTCACCGGATAGGAAGAAATCTTCCGGTCTGTTAAGTCTGTGAAGGGAGTCTCTTTGCGTCTGGTGGCAGGTTCTCACTCTCATCCCCGCAAAACCCAAAACATCCCAAAACCGCCGTGGCAAACAGCAGAGGAGGGCTGTGGAGGTGTTTGAAGTTGCAAAGCTTGCAATGCGGAACTTTAAACCCTTCAGCATTGAAGGATGCACGGCTTAGACAGGCACAGGGGCTTGGGATGGGGAATGGCTGGCCGGCTACAAGCACCTGCCAAGCCTAATTCCTCCGAGCTTCCTCGCCGCCAACAGAGTTTAGGGTTCCGGCTTCGAGGGGCTGCAGCAAATAGCCCAAAGCCCCCCCCAATCGGGCCCCCCAAGCCCCTCCTCGTAGGCAGCGTAGCGCACCCTCTCGGCCAGAAGTTGTTGCGCCGCCTTCCATGTTTTGTGCTCTTCCAACGCAGCGGGGGGACACCCCTCAATTTTGGAACTCACTTTCTCTCTTTTACCTACAGCCACAACTGCGCACCCAGGAAGCATGCCTTCAGTCCAGGGCTAGGGGCAAACAGGCCTGCCTGAAAGCAGACAGCGGCTACCTGTGCTACATCCGGTCATCCACTCGCTGCCTGTACTGCTGAAGGTTTGCCAGAGAGCTCCAGCCGACCCTGCAGGCACACAGTGGCAAAGAGGTCCAACCCTGAACCCAACTTAACAGCCTTAAGCCCTGAGCGATGCCAGTGGCACGTTTCAGGCTGTGGGAAACATCCCCATTGAAGGGACAAAGCAGGTGGCGCGCCAAGAATCGCAGCTCAATTGCCAGTGCGCAACAACCTCCATACTGCAACCGGAAACAGGCTCTTGCGCAGCAGACTTCTCGTGGCTTCTGTGGTCGGGCTCCCGGAGCCAGGCATCCAAACCAGAAGTCCCACATCCGCACAGAGAAGCTATGCAGCCTCCGCGACGTGCACTTGCACCGATGCCCCTGTGACGGTCTCAAGCTCCCTCTTGGCAGCTCCTGGCGTGTGGTTGCATGTAGGCTTTGAATAGGGTTCGCAGATGTTCCAAACATTTCCAAACAAACTCTGTGTGTGTGTGTGTGTGTGTGTGTTCAAAGGGCTCAGCTTGGGGTCCGGGTTCAGTTCAGTCTTAAGTCGTCGAAACGGCAAGCGAACACGCCTGAGAGCTTAAACCCCAATCATATATCCCAGTCCAGGCCCCCGGCCATGCAGTCCCAGCACACAGGATGCCACCGCACGGGGGACCTGGCTGGGGATCTTGGGTTTTTGTGTGTGTGAGAGAGAGAGGGTGCACTGCGCGGAGCGCTGGAGTCAAGGTGTGGGCTGTGGCCTTCTATCAGTTGTGGATGCTGCAGGACTTCGAAAGCAAGCGGGGACCAAATGCGACAGGACAAGTTTGAGAGTTGGGATCTGGGAGGCTTGCAGGTTGTACAACGATTCGGGCATCGCACTTTTGGGCGCCAGGGTCAGGGTTACATGCGCTGTGCAAACCAGCTGCGACAAACTTGTCGTCTGGTGTCGCTCCGGCGGCATTACAAGCTGAATGCGCAAGTGTGCAGTCTTTGGGCGGTAGAGGTCGAGTTGTTGGTCGTTGGCTTTGGGATTCAGGGTGAGAGGAGATCGTGTTATCACCGGGACAGAAGACAGAAGATCACCGGCAGCGAAGCAAAGCGCTGCGGAAGCCCCCCAACCAGTCAGCATCCCAGAACAACTAACGTATTCTGTGGGTCTCTTGAAGGATGAGTATGCTAATTCTTGTGCATTAGATCAACCCCACATCAGAGCACCAGAGCCGTGGGGCTGCCGGGCCTCGCCTCGACCCAGCTGTGGATACGCAGCTTTCTAAGGCTTGTTGGGCTTCTAGGGTTTGCATCGGCAGTCCCACCTCAAGTCGCAGTGCGTCCACGTCCATGGTCGACAAGGTACCATGGCGTTGGGGGTTGAGGGTCGAGCGTTTTCAAGGCTGGGTGCTTAAGGTGCTGGATTGAAGGCTCTGGTTTCTAAGGCGCGTCCTGACTTCCAAAGGCTGGAGGCTTCGTGCTCTTGGGGGGCCCAGCGGCTCAGGCTTCACTAGTGTGGAACCGAAGCTTCTGGTGGTGGGATTAAAGGGCTTCGGGATGTTCAGGGTGTGCAACCCTATGCCCAATACTAGCCCGATCATCCCGATCTTGTGAGTGCGCCAGGAGCGCGCAGCGACCGATCGAGGAGTGGCTTCAACCCACAATGCCAGAACGCCCGAAACCCACAAACCCAAACTTACCCTACAACCTTAACTGACCAAGCTTGCTTTGGTTGTAGGGGGTGCTGTGTGCTCGGCACCATGGACGTTCTCATCTTCTCGAGCGGGCATCGGCTTTGGCCACTGGATACACTGGAAACACGTTCTAATCGCGTGGGCATGGATGCTCTGGCCACCGGATGCTCTGGCAACATGGGTGCGACATGGGACGCGGGGTGCGAGGATGCGGGAGATGCAGCGAGGGACTGAGGGAGTCGAGGTGGGACGTGTGCACATGACCCGGGACACGGACGCGAGGGACGCTGGGGACGGTCACAGTTCATTCTGGACCTTTCTGGCTAAGAGCTGACTTGACAGCACCAGGGAACCCTTGAACACGGTTAACCTGCACAGAAGCCTGAAGTCGTGGTGCAAAGATACCGGGAACTCTGCTGCTTGCAGCCCGACCCCCTATAGTGGTCCAGGTACGAGTAGCTCGGAGTTTAGGGTGTAGAGCCAACATGTGCTGCTAAAGCATGAAGTTAGGAACACAAACCCAAATACAAACTTGCAGCCTGATTCCGGAGAACCCCTTTCTCCTAGGAACCAAATTCCTCCAAAGCTGCAGTCAGCAGTCTAAACACGCAGCAAGCAAAGATATCTTTTCGGCTTTACAGGCTGTATCAACCCGAGGTTGGCTTTGCTCGAAAACCGTTTCTGCCAAGCTCAGCTCAAAGGGAACATCGGAAGCATGCTTTCATGAAGCTTTCATGAACACATCATGTGCGTGTCGCAAGAATGAGCTGATGTCGAGCTGAGCGGCAGCACCCAACTCACGAACGCTTTGGCCGCCTTTGTACTCGTGCATGTGGACATCCCCCGATCCCCGGCTGAACAGTGTCAAGAAACCCTCGAAGCAAGGGCATGATGCTAAAAAGACAAGAGATGCCTGTTTCAGCCCGGAATCTGCAATGTCCATGCCGTGTGAGTCTGGTGCTGAAGGATTCTAGCACTCTTTACAGCGAAAGTCCAGTGACTTGTTCTCACCGGATCGTTGACGCATGTCAACAACTTACCTCCTTCCCTTGCAATCTGCGGCACGTCGCACGAAGGCGTTTGTCCATCACTGTGCTTTAACGGCCAAACTTGCAACATCGCACCTGCGCTGGACCTCACAAGCCAGAGGCAGAGGGAGCACGACAACCATACTCCACACCAAGTATCCGGCCATCCCCTCGCACTGGCACAATTCGGGAGGACTCTTGTCATGCTGCTTCTTGTCCTGCTGCCGTGCCTGGGTACCACCTTTGAACCTATTCAACGAAAAAGAAACATCATGCACATCTTTTTGCCGAAGCTCTAGGGCTACGAGCATACGAACTTCCGACAAGCAAAAAGCCAAAAACGAGCCAAGGTTGTTTTGTTTTCTTTGCCCAGGCAAAACAGGATGTTCAGAAAGTTGGCTACCGACTCCGAGCTTTATGGTGCTGCGAACACGGGAAAGTAGCAAAATAGAACGAGTGGTAGGAACGGGTGAGAAGGGTGAAGATAGCCACAGCGAGAGTCAGAGCAATCAGGAAGGAGTAGGGGTGGCAGTGGGGGTAGTGTTGGTAGTAGTAGTAGTAGTAGTAGTAGTAGTAGTAGTAGTAGTAGTAGTAGTAGTAGCAGCAGCAGCAGCAGCAGTAGCAGCAGTAGTAGCAGTAGTAGCAGTAGTAGCAGTAGTAGAAGTAGTAGCAGTAGTAGCAGTAGTAGCAGTAGTAGCAGTAGTAGAAGTAGTAGCAGTAGTAGCAGTAGTAGCAGTAATAGCAGTAGTAGCAGTAGTAGCAGAAGTCGCAATGCTAGATAGGTAGGCAGTGGGTAGGTGGGTATGTAGGTAGCAGTTCCCAAATGATCAAGAAAAAAGCAATAGGGGTCGCATCGCTTGATACCGTCATGATACTTAGAAACAGCCACCATGAAAGCAAGATCTACTGCAGGTAAGGAATCAGAAGAGCAGAAAAAATATGCGGTCGCAGTACTTCAACCTACCTTTGCACCCTACTGTAGACATCCGCGCGGTTCAGGTTGCTGAAGCAGCAAGAAAAACCTCCATGTTCTATGCTGTCAAAGATGGGTCGAAGAGTCACGAACGGACTCGGAGATGCGTCTTCCCCCCCGCAGCAGTAGGTTTAGGGTTTAGGGTTTAGGGTTTAAGGCTTAGGGCTTAGGGCTTAGGGTTTAGGGTCGGTACTTGAAACCTGCGACAACGTCTGATTCAAGCAAAAACACGCTTGCGGATAGTTCTCGCGCAAGCCATAGTCATCTTGCAACGACGGTGCTCTTGAGACGAGATGGCCTGAGTATGGCATGGAATAAACGTATACAACGATCCACATCTATGAAGCTCAACATTCTAGAGAAGTACTAGGGCACAAAAAGCACTAATCGCCACATGGCCACATGCTTTCAGGCAAAGCATAGTGGGTTTATGGTCCGAGGCTTTGTTCTGTCAAGTGTCTAGACTTCAAACTTTCCAGTTTGACCTTTACCGGTTTAGTGAGGGCTTAAAATTTGAAGAACTTAGGACGCAGGATTTCAAATGCATGACCCTCCACGCCAAACGAAGAAACGTAAATACCGTCGAGAGAGAGAGCTGAGAGAGATGAAGGGGGAATCAGCAACCGAGCCCACGAACAGGGCAAGAGCTGATACTTGACAACTCGCCAGACTCCCTTTGCACATCCTTGCACAGCGAGGACTAGGGTTCAGGTCCGCGTTAATCGGCAACAAGGCAGCTGCATGATGAGGGCGGGAGTCTGGTACCACGCCAACTTTGAGACGGACCTGTCTTTCCAGGATTCATGGCAGCAAGTGCCAAGCATCCAAAACCAGCTCAGGCCTCTCCATTGAACAACGTATGGTCGACAATGCGTGTGAGAACCCCGAAATGTCAACGCCATCATGTTTAACCTTATCTTTTCCTTATCACCATTTACCAAAGCAGGGAATGCAGCAGGCAGATGGGGGCTGTACCTAACAAAGCAACCACGTATCTGGGATGGGAAAGGGTTCGAACAAAGTTTAGGGTTTAGGGTTTAGGGAACCATCCATTTGCGATGCATTGAGAAAACAAGCTGTGTATGGTACCAACAGGATTATCGTCCGCAGCGCGCTCACCCGAAATATCCCTAAACCCTCAACCTAAACCCTAAACCCTCAATCCTGAACCCCAAGGCAACGCGTGGATCCATGCTATTTTAAAGTACACGAACCAGGCTTCCAGGTAGCCTTGGGCCTTTTGAAGAACTAGGACCCCAAAGCTGTTAAACTCTAAGAGCCTAAGACAGGTATAAACGGATTAGGGGTTCTATGAAGTAGGCAAGGTGGTCGCCCACAGCCTTTGACAGCGCAGGAATTGAGCACTGAGCATTTGTCAAGCGAATTCATCTGCGCAACTCACCTCCTCGTTGACTATGGCACTTCTGACAAATGCGACGGCCAGCCCTACGCACCAAAACCCTAAACCCTCAACCCTAAACACTTCTGTAACCCCACTGGAAAACCTTCAGACTCCAAACCGAACAAGATCGTCGCAGGGCTGGTTCTTGTTCCTCGACCTACGCAAAAGCGGAGTCGTGCCTCTAGCAAAGCCAAGGGGCTTAGGAGCCCGAAGCCTACTTCCAAGCCCCAATGAACGTGCTGGCCCTAAACCCTAAACCCTAAACCCTAAACCCTAAACCCTAAACCCTAAACCCTAAACCCTAAACCCTAAACCCTAAACCCTAAACCCTAAACCCTAAACGCCAGAAAGGTCGGTCTGAGGATTTCTCGGCAAACTTACGCGGTCCATGGCTATGGCTTCTTGGAGAACTTGCGTATGTGCTTCCAACCTTTGCTGCAAGTGGGCACATTCTCAACCCTAAACCCTCAACCATGCTTTTGCAGCTTTTTGGGGTTTCGGTCCAGGCCTAAACTCAGAGGCACGCGGCGGGGGCAAGGAAACCCAATGCACGGCACATGGGGCCGTCTCATGGATTCCAGTCACTGAGCTCAAGTCCAAGATTGGTCATTTGGAGCCCTTTAGGGTTTAGGGTTTAGGGTTTAGGGCCAGTAAATGAAGTCTAGGGTTTCACGGGCACGCAAGTATGTTGCCGAGAGCTGTCACATCTCAGAGTGCTTAGTGTTTCAGGGCGTAACTTTGTGCCTTCCGTGCTTCAGAACACCCAATACTGGTATTTGCTGGTTTAGGGTTTAGGGTTTAGGGTACACAACAGCCTACATCTGAATCTTGGGCTCAGGAGCTGCCCCGTGGAGAAAGTTTCACTCAGGCAAACTAAAAGCATGTGCTCCCAAAGGCAAAGCTCAGCTGGAATATGGTCTAGGGTTCAGGACTTTGTACGCAGGACAGTCTTGCTGGATTTCTTCCTGCAATCGCGTCTGGGCCCCAAGGTTCTCAGGAAGCAAAGAAAGATGACAAGAAATACAGCTGTAGGCTGTAGACCCCACCGGACTCTTAAATTGCTGCAACATGACCAGAAATGCTGAGGAGGTCTTCTATGTTTGCGAAAAACTCTGGATCTTACTGCTTACTGTGTGACTCGCCACGGAGATCTAGATTATCACGTGGGTTTTGGCCGAGTAACGTTTAAGGCCATGTGCCTTTTGCGCTCACCTCCACAAAGTAATTTACCATTCCCCAGTTGCTTTTCAAGCGT